CTCAGCTGCCTCATCTTACAATTGAGGAGACCGAGACCCAGGGAAAGTAGGATGACTTGGCCATAGATAATCACCCCAGAGTGGGATTCGTACCTAGGCACCCTGCCTCTTCCCATTGTACCATGCCGTTTCCCCTAAATCAGGTACCTCCTTTCTCCCTTCTTCTCAACTACAGTGTTGCTGAGGGTCAGAGAATACAATGGGGACCCCTCGCTATTGGTCATGTGCAGGGCGTGCTTAGGATTGGGGGTCCCCTTGGCTTCCTCTGCAGAAGCTTCAACCTGGAGGCCCAGCCTGATTGTCCCGGAGAGTGAGTGACGCTGTTCCTGGCTGGGTATTAAGGGGAATGGAGGAGTGGGCCCTGATCCTTCATGGGTCATTCTCACACACACACACACACACACACACACACACACACACACACACCCCTCTCTGTGCTACCGAAAGCAACTAACTCTCACGGCCCCCTCCTCTAGGAGATGAGAGAGTTGGTCTCCATGACCCAGGGGGCTCTTCCAGCTCTAAATCCATGATCTTCCCAAAGAGCAATCCCTAAGCATTTATTAAGAACCTGCTGTGTACTAGATACTGTGTTAGAATCTGGACTTAGCTTTAAGAGAAGACAAAAAAAAAGCCAGAGCATGGATGATTCTAGGTCTGCACCATTTCCTTTCTTGACCTCATTTCCTAAGCCTGCCCCATCCCTGGCCCTGGCCGCCATGTCCCTTTGCCTTCGCTGTCCCAGCCTCCATCTTCCATGTGCCCCCATGGCCTCAGAGGCCCCACAAGCTCAGCCACTACTCTCTACCTTCCTCCTGGGGGCCTGGGTACAGTGGAAAGAAATACACACACACACCTCCCCAATACATCCTACAGCTAGAGGGCCTGGATTCATCTCCTGCCTCTGTTTCTGACTGACTCCCTGGGTGACCTTTGGCAAATTTCTTCATCTCCTGGGCCTCAGTTTCCTCAGCTGTAAAATGGGAGGGGTGGGTTTTTCTAGCCACCGAGGTCCCTTCGAGCCCTAGCTTTATGAGCTCCTCACTCCCCACCTTCCTGTTTGTGGCTTTGTCAGAAATTGGTACAGTTCCTGGTTCTCCGGATTTACTGTGGTTTTTATAAGCTGCAACTTGGGATCCCTCATCAAAGCACAAGTGAGCCCAACAGGGCTCTCCTTAGATGGTGGCAGTGGCTCGGTGGAAGATCATGAGGTGAGCCTGGGGCAGCCTTGCAGGGAGACAGAGGCAGACCCCACCTCTCCAAGTTCCGAAGCCGTGTCTCCACCTGCCTCCAGGATGCTGGCCCCTGGATGTCACCCTGGCAGTCTAAAGACTCAGGCTGGGACCCTGTGGCTAGTGATCCAAGATCAGAGGTATCCCAGCCACAGATAGAGTGAACATGTCGCTGCTCTGCTCAAGAAACTACATGGCTCCCTGTTGCCTCCTGGATAAAATACCAACTTCTGTTTGTCATTTAAAGCCCTTCATAATCTTACTTCAGCCTACCTTTCTAGGCGTATTAAAACAACACTAATAAAAATAAATAGCTGTCATTTATATAGCACTTTAAGGCTGGCAGAGTGCTTTACAAGTGTCACATTTGATCTTCACAGTAACCCTGGGAGGTAGGGGCTGTTATTCTGCCCATTTTACTTTTATCTATCTATCTGTTTATTTATTGGCTAGGCAGTGGGATTAAGTGACTTGCCCAGGGTCACACAGCTAGTAAGTGTTATGTGTCTGAGGCCGGATTTGAACTCAGATCCTCCTGAATCCAGGGCTGGTGCTCTATTACTGTGCCACCTAGGTGCCCCTCCCTTGGATTTTTAATAACTGCATGACCTTGGCCAAGTCCTTTTACTTCTGTTGCATTGCCTGTAAAATAGGGATGATAATCATATAAAACTGATGTGGGGAAAACTCATTAGGTTTATAGCCTAAGAAGCTGGAATCTGTTACTACCTGTGTGACCTTTGGCGAATCACTTAACCAGTCTCCGAGTCTATAAAATGGGAGGAGGGGTTGGATTGGACGTCTTCTGGGGTCCCTCTCATCTCCAAATCTAGGATCTTGTGATAACATAAAGTACTTTACCAATTTCGAAGGCTGTGGAAATGTCCTCATTGTTATTGTATTCATTATGTGTGTTTTGCGGAACAAAATCACAGCCCACTGTTGTAAACTGGTCAGTTCCCAAGTCACTAATAATCTGCCTAGTTAGCCCATTGTCTGGGCCCCTTGGCCATGTCTGGGTACAAGACGTCTGTTGTTCCAACAAAACCTGGCCACAGTGGACCCCAAGCCCTATCCCCATCTCTCTACTTGGAAGCTGTAGTTCTGTATCTCAGTACCTACCTGGGCCCTCCTTTCAAAGTCCACACCACACCTGCTGCTAATGTGGAATGGCTATCAATACCTAGTCAGGCCCTACTTTCACAGAATTTAGGTTTGGAAGGAACCTCAGGAACTGTCTCCTTCAACCTATGTGGGAAATAAATCCCAACTATAACATCCCTGCCCAGGTGCCATCTGTCCTATGCTTGGAGACCTCGAGAAAAGGGAAGCCCACTTCCTCCTGGGGCAACCCATTGTGCTGTGGGACCACTCTTATTCAGCTAAAATCGCTATCTATAACTTCCACCCTCTGGAACCAAGCAAAACAAGCCTGATCGCTTTTATGCACAAAGGCCCTTCGGGTGTTTGAAGACACCCATCATCCTTTCCAGCCTTCTCACTTCCGGGCTGACATCTCCTGTTCTTTCAGCTCCTCACCCAGCATGTCCTCCAGTAGTTAATTTATTTGTTAGATGCCATTCCTTACTGGAGGACCCTGAAGGTGACATCCTGGTGGCTTATCTTCAGCCCTGAGCTCTGAAATGTCCTGAGGGATGATAACCAGACTTTTCCTGCAAGATCCAGAGCCTCTCCTCTGTCTAGGGTCTGTAGGGCAAAGGACAAGCCTTCTGACATGTCTCCAGCCCTGTGAGGATGGCCTGAGATCTCAGCTGCCCATAGGACTGATACCTGTAGAGATTCCTCTATAGCTTTCTATGTGTTGGCAGAAAGTAGCTTTCAGTTGTCTTTGTTACTGGAGGGAGCCATGGAAAGGATCCTCCGAAAGGGAGGCAATGTGGTATATAAGGGGAAACCCTGGCTTTGGCGTCAGATGGCCTTGCCCTGCTGATTATATATAACCTGTGATAGGAACTTCCTTCTCTAGACCCCAGTTTTTTCCTCTGTAGTATTGAAGGCTGAACACAATGATCTTTCTATCCAAATAAATGATCCAATTTTAAAAAGGCAGAAAATTAGTTTATTTTCATGCTTACAGGTGAATATGGTCATGTCTGACAGTTGGGCCTAGTTTGTCTGAGACTTGCTTATTCAGAAGAAAAAATGGAGGTGGGAGGCTGTCTCCTTTCCGTATCTTGCGTTCTACTCCAAGCAAATCATCAAAAGCATTACCTTTCAGATGTATGTAATGTATAACATTAACCAAGCTGAGCTGCCTTCTCTCCCTAAGTTTGCTTGTGGTGTGTCAGGGCTTCTGAAACTTTTTCTGCTCGCAACCCCTTCAGCACTTCTTAAAGCCCCATATGGGGTCTCGACCCACAGTTTAAGAAGTGCTGGAAGAGATATATTGTATACAGCCTAAGATAAAGAGACCCTTCTTGTTCCAGTTTTATTTTTCCAGTTACAGTAAACATCAGTGATAGTGATAACATCAGTCAGGGAATTCACTTTTAGGGAGGCCATGGACAAGCTAGAGCAGATAGAGGAAGGCAGCCAGACAGGTGAAATCACCCTAAAAATCTGCCACATGCAGAGTGAACTAAGGGGCCAGGGAGGAGAAGCCTGGGTGGGGAGCAGAAGATACAGGCAGTCTTCATTTATCTGAAGGATCATCAGGTGGAACAAGAGATGACACATTGGGTCCGTGTCGCTCCATTGTGCAAAACTAGGAACACTTGGGGAATTACAGGGAGGCAGATTTCAGCTTGATATAAGGAAGGCTTTTCTAATGAATGGGACTGTGGAATAGGCTGGTCCAAAGGCAGTGAGCTCCCTGTCCATCACTGGAGATATCCAAGCAGACTTTGGCGATAGAAGGGCTTCAGGGTTCTGGATGGGAGAGTGTCCAGCTTAAATGCTGAGAGCCTAGCCTGCTCTGAGATTCTGTGACCATTAAACTAGGGAGGTTTCCGTCAAAACAGAGTTGAGATAAGTCCCCGGTGGTGTCAATGACTCCAGAAGAAAGGCAGGGGAGGGTAATGCACAAGATTTGGTTTAGAAACTGGGCCGCCATCTGGGTGGTTGCAGGATCCCTGACTCCTTCCTCCCCATGTGTTTGTTTGTTGGAGGCAGGAGGAGACGCTGATACCCAAGACTCATCTGGGCCTCCAGGTCCATTCTCTTGCCCAAGAGTAGCATGACTCTTCCATGTTGTTTCTCCCAGTAGACTATAAACTCTTGAAGGCAAGGAGTTTGAAGTTGTCTTTTGTGTTTTGTTTGTGTCTTCAGTCTTTGCATCCCCAGTGTCTAATGCATAAGCATATTTAATAATGCTTATTAACTGACTCAGGAGCTAAACAGCTATGCTATTTATGATCAGTTTTGGAAGACTCTCTGGAAGAAGGCACATACGTTATGGATGGGGAGGGACATCGTTGACATAACTTGTTTTATCCAGCTTACTCACTGTCGTATAAGGTGTGGAGGGGGGCATTGGGCCTGTTCCTACTTGTGTGGTCCATTCCATAGGGCCTCATCCAGACCTGGAAGGGTCTCCATGAGGAAACTGAGGCCCAGAGAGGTTAGGCCACACATGGTTTTTCTTCACCAGAGAACACAGAGGCTCAAACCGATGGGCCTTATAGAGATTGTGCCTTCTCCTACCATACCCCAGGAAGTCATGGGAGAGCCTGGAGTCTGAGAGGGGAGAATGGAAAGACAGATTCAAACACCCATCCAAGCTAACATTTCCTCCTTCCTATGTTTCAGGCCTCCGTAGGCTCTGAGAAACTCTTCGCTCCTGCAGCTAGTAAAGGTAAGAGATTTCATATACCTCACTCCTACCCCTGCCTCACGCCACCCTGGGACCTACATGGGCAGCCATCCCTATTTGCCCCACTGGGGCTCAGTCTCTCCATTTGTGAAATGGGGAGTCAGGTTTTGCCTTTCCTCAGAGAGGGTTGGCACCTCCATCCAGTAGGGCTTTGAGTCTCGGGACAGAGAAGGGTAAAAGCAAACAACCCTGTCAATGCCTCTGGAATGAATCGGAGCAATACCACCAGAGATCCAGCCTATTTAATTATTCATCAGGAGTGCGCCAGCCAAAATTGGTTTTTGATTTAAAGCATCCAGGCGTCGGATGTGTTGGGGGAGGACAGTACCAGATGGGAAGCAGCGACAGGACATCAAGAGGAAAGGGGGGTGTGTGTGTGTGTGTGTGTGTGTGTGTTTTGTGAAAACGCAGAGGTTCATTCATCTCACCTGTGCCTACGGTGGCGATGAACCCAGTGCCTACATTGCCCCCAGCAATGCCAATCTAGTTTCATTGCATTTCCAGTGACTAAGGGGCATGAGACCTGTCCCCTTTTGTTTACAGCCATGGATTTTACCGAGCTGGCTGTGGATAGAGGAGAGGTGAAACAGGGATTGTCCTCCCAGGACTTGTTTTCTGCTGGTAGGAACTATGTCTGGCCCGTTTTCTATGTGCTATCCTACCACCTATTACCTAGAGAGTTTGGGACACCCTTCTACATTAATTGTTATGGGGGAAGGGGTCAAAGGGGACATGGCCCTGTCTTCCCAGATGGCGCCAGCCCCTGCCCCAACCAGGGCCTCTGTGGTGAGCTTTGCTATAGCTAATTAAAAACCTAAATTAGAATAAGCATTTCATTTCATTTCTTTTCTTTTCTTTTTTTTTTTTTTTTTAAAGAAAAGGCAGAGCTACTGGGCCGTCTTTTTGTTATCAGTATCAGGAATCATCCTCTTAACAGAAAGGCCAGAACATGGCTAGTAGAGAATGGATATGCCAAAGATAAGGAAGAAGACGGGAGAGTACTCATTGCCTTGGGTCACTTCCCATCCCTAGGCCCAGATAAACTGCATAGATATGAAAAGTCACAGCTGATGACAGAGCTACCCCAGGCCTAGAGTAGGGCAAGTGTAGCCTTGATTAAAAAAAGAGAGAGAGAGACTCTAGGCAGGTGGGGTTGACTTCAGTTACTTGAAAAATTCTAGAACATACTATTGAAGTGATGGTTAGTGAACGTCAAGAAAAGGAAGTGGTGGTCACAGAGAGCCAGCTCGGCTTCATCTAGGACAGGTCATGCCAGGATAACCTTTATTTCCTGTTTTTGGATGGGGATAATAGGCGGGCTGGTCATGCAGAAGCTGTAGGTACAGGTCTTTAGAGATAGTAGCAAAGCATTTGACCAGTGTTTCCATACTGTTTGGATAGATGAGCTAGAGTGATGTGGGCTGGATGGTGGTCCAGTTCAATGGGTTCAAACCTGGTTGAATGGCTGGCTGCAGAGAGTAGTTCTTTTCCTGTTTAAAAGGAAGTCTGTGGTGAAATGCCCTTGTGCTCTGCCTTTGGGATTGTGCTGGTCAACATTTTTTTCAATTAACATTTAAATAAAAGCATAACTGGCATCCTTATCAGTTTAGGGGATGACACAAAACTGGGAAGGAAAACTAATCTTTTGGGTGGCAGATTAAGGATCCAAAAAAAAAGATCTCAACAGACCAGAATGTTGGGCTGGACTTAATCATTGGGACAAATGTAAAGTATTACTTTTGGGTTCAAAAAATCAGTTTCAGAAGGTGTAAGATGGGGGAGAAGCATGATTGATGGCAGTTTGTCTGAAAACCCAAGGGGTTTAATGGACTACGATAGCCCCAAAAAGCTAATGTAATCTAAGGCTGCTTTAAGAGAGGGATGGTAGGTAGGGACAGGGAACCGCTGTCCATGTAGAGTAAGTATCATGTGCAGTTCTGGATGCCACATTTTAGGAAGGGCACGAACAAACTGGAGAGGGTGCAGAGGAAGACAAGCAGGATGGGGGAGGGTGTCAAAGTCATGTCATTTGAGGATCACCTGAAGTAACAGTGGTTGTTTAGCCTAGAGAAGAGCAGACATTGGTGGGGAGGGAGGGAGGGACATGACAGTGGTCATCGCAGGGATGAGAGATTATCCTTCTCAGTCCCAGAGGCTGAAGCTAAGAGCAGTGGGTAAAAGGTGTTGAGGCATAGATCTTGGCTCAGTGTAGGAAGAAGGGAAAAAAGAAAACTTTGAATAAGAGCCAAATCAAAGGATGACGTGCTGCCCGGGGAGTATTGGCTTCTCCTAGCTGGAGGTCTAGCAAGAACTGCTTGTCTAGGGGTGTTATAGCGAGGAATCTTGTTCAGGCGTGGGATTGCACTGGATGGCGTCTGAAGTCTCTACCGACTGCAAGACTCTCATTGGCATACTCAGGCAGCTAGGTGGCGCTGGACCTAGAGTCAGGAAGACCTGTGTTCCAATCCTGCCTCAGACATTTACCAGTCACTTAACCTCTGCCTCAGTTTCCTCATCTATAAAGTGAGATGATAATAGCACCTACCTTGGGGTTATCGTGAGGGCCAAATGAGATATTTTAAAAAGTGCTTTGCAAGCCTTAAAGCACTAAATAAATGTTAGCTGTGAGGTTATCAAGGAGCTGTGCTAAGCTTGGGAGCTATGGCACAAGACTGAGTCCGGAGAGACAACTTGCCTGAGGCAGTTTGTGGGTGGAAGAAGTGTCTTATGAATACCGAATTTTGCCTGTTGGGTTAGATTGTGAAGGGTCTTAAATCCCAACAGAGGAATAGGGGATTGTCCTGGGCAGTAGGGAGCATGGGAGCTTTTCGAGCAAGGGAGTGATGTAGAAGCCCTTGGAGAGAGCTGGGTTTGGCCACCATGTGCAAGATGCAGGCTGGATTCTTCCTCTCCTCCCCTTTCATGCTCACCAGTCCCATATCCAAAGACAACTGAAATTTTGTCGGAAACAGCGTAATCGGATTAGCAGAAAGCAGAAGAGTGCAAGGAAAGAAACTGGTTTATTGGGGGAGGGGGAATGATGAGTTCATTAGGCTGGTGGGAGATAAGGTGGAAATGTCCAGCAGGTAGTTGGACATTGTGGACTGCAGCTTTCTGGGGGGAGGGGACCTCGGAGCAGGGGATATATCAATATGAGAGTCATTTGCTTAGAAATTAGGATTGAATCCAGAAGTGTGGGTGGTGAGAGGACGAAGGGCAGAGAGATGAAAAGAATCTCAGTCAGGACTGAGCCTTGGGGAACCCCGAGGAATGGGGCAGAAAGGAGGGGTCTGGGAAGTAGACCACGGAACAGCCACAGGAGAAAGCCATGGCCTGGAAGCCACGGGAAGAGGATCCAGAAAGAGGGAATAGTGGACAGTTGTCACGAGCTACACAGAAAGTCCAAGGATTAGGCCTTGGGAGGCAGCGTTGCTCAGTGTAGTAGGCTGGGGTTCAGAATGACCTGAGGTCAGATCCATCCTCAAACACTTAACTTTTCTGCATCCCTATTTCCTCATCGATCAGATGAGGGGGTCGGACAAGAGCCTTGTAGCTCTCCATCTGTGTTCCTGGGATTGTACCCCCCAGGGACTCCATTTCCACACCTGTCAAATGAGGGGGCTGGATTTTGTGGCCTCTGGGGTACCTTCCAGCACTAAATCTGTAAGCCAGTCTATTTTGCACCCCCCTCCCCGCCCCCCCTAGTGATCTTGAAAAGATGGCCCAGCGCTGATGAGTGGGCCCTCGGGGTTGAGAGGAGAAAGCAGATGGAAAGGGTTGGTACCACTGGGTGACCCAGAAGCTTGGGAGGGAGCCCCTGAGAGACCAGTAAAGCCTTGAGGAGGCAGCAGAAATCTGTCATGGGCACAGCGCGAGGCTGAAAGGGTCTGGACAAGGGCGAGCATGGAGTAAGAAGGATGGATGGGTCCACATGGCTCCCCTTCACGCAGCCCAGCCAGCCTTGGCGTATTGCTCACACCCTGCATCCCACGTCCCAGGCCTTTCCCTGAGAGGGTCTGGGGTCCACTCAGAACCCCTAATCTGTGTCACAGCTCCACTCTGGGGCCGTTTCCTTTTGAGTAGAGCCACCCTCATCCCCGAAGCCTTTGGCTACTAGGGACCCCCTGCCCCACCTCTGAATGTAAGTGGCTACTTCCTCTGGTAGAGTGTGGGGTCCTTGAATGGGTTTGGACTCGGAAACCTGAGTTGGAAAGCCTGTCTCTGCCAGTTACTGCCTGTGTGACCTTGGGCAGGTCACCAAACCCTCATCAGTAAAACAAAGAGGTTGGACCAGCTGTCCTCCAAGGTCCCTCCGAGCCCTTGATCTGTGGCCATGTATTATAACCCATCACTGCTTAAGAACAGCCAGGCACTGCCATGGTCAAGTCTCCTCCGAGCGCGCCAGCTGGCAGCCCTCCCTCCCTGCCCGGACCTGGCCGGGGGACCATTTTCACCCGTTTCCCCTTAGCGTTGGGCTGTAAAACCTCACTGGGCCGGGCCAGGCCAGGGCTGGGACCCAGGACAAGAAGCAAAGGGGCCCCAGAGTCACCAGGCTAGACCGGCAGAGTCCCCGGATGAGAAGCTCGGGCGCTTGACTCGCAAGAGAGGTCCTGGTGCCCTCCCTCAGGCCCTATTCAGCCTTCCTTTACGTACCCTTCTAATAAGCTTGCTTCTTAGGGGCTGTTTAGGGGGAGCCCTATCTCAAAACAACTTTGAGAGAAATAGCGAAGAGACAGAAATTACTTAAAAGCAGGTGCAAGGTCCCAGGTGGCGGGGGGGGGGGGGCACCCCCTTCAGGGCCTAGCCAGTTGGCTACCCCACCCCCACTCCTCACCCCTCCCCCAGCAGTCTTTCTCTGCACCCCAGCCCCCCCGTGTCCCTGGGACTCCAGGGCTAAGGGCCTCCCCACCCTTAGGGCTAGGATCTGGTGTCCCTAGGGTTTAGGGGTCCCCTTTGACCTCCTCACGAGGCTGGGATCCAGGTCCCTGTAGCCTCCACTCTGGGGCCAGGCCACAGTGAGACAGTGGCTCACCCTCTTGTCTCCCTTCCAGGTTTCTCGCTGAGTGAGAAGCCCGAGACAAAGGCTCCTGTTGGGCCTAAGGTCTCAGGGCTGGAGCGAAGCCGGGAGCTGAGCACCGACACCCCGTTTCTGCCTCCTGTGCCCAGTCCCCCGGCCCCCACGGTCACCACAGTTCCTATAGGCGCCCCCTCCAGCACCCGAGCCAGCCCCTTGGTGAAGAAGGAGGCCCCGCCCCCACCCCGCCTCACTCCACAGCCTCAGCAAGTGCAGCCTGCACCCCCGCAGCCCCGGGCCCCACCCCCAGCACACGTGGGGCCCCCCCTGGGCACCTACCCCGGCCATCCCCCTGCCACACACAACGGCCTGCACAGCCTCAGGTAAGGTTGGCACCTGCATCTGGGGAGGGAGGTCAGGGTGGGGATAGCAGACCTGGGACAGATAGGCATGGGGGCTGGTTCAGGGCCCAGGGGTGTGGTGTCAGCCCCATCCAGGGGTCGAGTTAACTAACTTGTCTTTCCTTTGTCTCCGTGGCTTCCTCCCACTTCCTCCTGTTACTTCTTGCCTGACTGTGGCATCTGTGTCTCTTCCCTTCCCCCATCCCTCTTGCTCTTTTCTCTCCTCTCTGTCCCTATATCTGCCTGTGTCTATCCCCCCTCTCCCCATCCTCCTTCCTCTCCCTTTGACTCCTGACCTTTCTCCTCTTTCCCTCTATCCCCTTTCTCTCCTCCTATCCCCTATCTCCCCATCCTCTTTTGTTTCCCTTTGACCCCTGATCCTTCTCATCTCTCCCTCTATCCCCATCTCTCCCTCTATTCCCTCTTTCCCTCTGTGCCCCATCTGTCTCTATCCCCTTTCTCCTCCTCTGTCCCTTATCTCCCCATCCTCCTTCGTTTCCCTTTGACCCCTGATCCTTCTCATCTCTCTATTCCCCGTCTCTCCCTCTATTCCCCATCTCTCCCTTTATTCCCTCTATTCCCTGTCTCTCCCTCTATTCCCCGTCTCTCCCTCTGTTCCCCGTCTTTCCC